ATTACTTTTAAAAGATATTGATACAAAGGCATTTTTTAGTAATATGACCTTTCGGTAATTGATATTATTACAATATTATATTATAATTATTGCCTTTGTACTTGTCTCTATTGTCTTTTGCATTTTAAATTATGAAATACATAATTTACATAAAACTGCTACACTTATCTCCTCACCTATCTTTTTGACGGACGAATTTTTAGAAAATATAGAGAGTTAATAAGTTGTGTAAGCTTCATGCGCAGCAAGCGTATACACATAAATCCTGTCATATTACATAACCAGCAATTCTGTTTTATATTTTAGAGTTGATTATGGCGCGACTAGTCAGAAAATATATCTTTATAAGTGGATAGAAAAGCTTGTAGCTAATTTAAGTATAATTTAAATGCTGCAAGATTGATCTTCACGTAGTATCTTCTTTAATTGAGAGCTAGATATTAGCGATATCATTGCATAGAAAATTTTACTCATATATTTTTAAGGCAAGTATTAAAATAGCAAGCCGTCGCTTATATTTAATTGTATATTTAATTGCATCAAATTAAATCGAGAAAAAAACAACAAATTTAGCTAGTAATATTGTCCTCGACCTTTGCACCGTTTAAAGTCATGATCGCTTAGACAAAAGTAATATTGTTCAATTGCTAACGATATGTCACTCAGTGTTTCGACGTTGACGATCCTTTAATTCTGTTTAACACTTCAATTAAGGAAACACGCCAATCGTTATCTTCATCCAGTTTAATCGTTCAGAGAACTGTCTTTCTGCGTAAAAATGTAACCTTATATTCTCACTTTCTTTATGAGTTATTTTACTCCATAATAAAATCCACTTATTTTTCTCATATTTAATCATCAATTAATCGTGAATTTCGAATTTATTGAGAATGTCAAATGCTACGATAAAGAATGCGAATTATTAGCGGACACAAGCGATTTTAAGTATAGATAAGCAATAAACTACAAAGCTATAATTTATTTATTCGTGGCGATTTCGCAACGAACTTAATGAGAATATAAATGTTCAAGCCTTATCTGTTTACTATAAAAAGCTATCCACCTGAAAAACACTTGTGGTGCACGTTGAGACATTTTCTAAAGTTCTTTATTTACAGGATTAGCGATCACAGGTTTAAGTGATTAACCAATAAAAACTTATAACTATTATAAAAATTTGACATGAAAATATTTGTAAATATTAAAAATAAGTATGAATAATGAAAATTTAAAAAGTAAAGGGATATTAGGAATTAATTAATACTTATAATGAAAAATAGAAATTAATAATTAAGATTAATAACATATCTATATTATATTAATAATTAATATTAATTATATTAATAACT